TCATTCAGATGGTCATATCTCAGCCAATACTTAACATATTCATTTGGTTTTCGACATTTGGACATTAATTTTGATGTTCTTTCGGAATATGAAGAAAAAAAATGAGAAATTCTAAAAATAGATTTTTGATGACGTCACACTTCACCACTCTATATACATTAAAATGAATTGAAAACGGCTTCGCGTGGTCGATGCTTCGCCGCTGCTCCATTAAACGGGCCCTTCTTTTACTTTTGCAATGCATATTGGCATGAACTTAGATCAAGATCTATCGGGCAGATGTTGTTTTTTTGTTTTTGGAAGTTTTTTTTCGTCTTCATGTCAACAATGCAAGATAAAATTGTCGGTAAGATCGATCGAGATTCAATTGTATTGAAATTACCGACCAATTCTTCGCACACGTACGGTATCCTCGATCGCTCAGATCATTTTTTAACATGTAAACCTATGGGGTAACCATGGAGACTGACCTATTTTCCCAATAACCATGGTTATTGGGATTTTGAACTGTTTTTTAACCATGGTTACCGGGAATTTTCGGGAACAGTTAAAGTTTATGAATGCAATTTCGACCAATCAGATTGCTGGATTACTTAAGTGAGGTATATAATGTTGCTTAATTTAGGTAAGTCAGTCAGTTTATGACTATTACTGCCGAAAACTTATTCGTTTTGAATTCAAATTTACGTATATAGCCTACATTCACATAATATGCGTGTTTATATATATATATATATATATATATATACTATTACCATTTATTTTTACATTATATATATATATATGTATATTTCTTCTTCTTCTTAAAAATTCACAAAAAGGGGGGAGACAATGATATCATGTTATCTAGATTACCGGTCCCTGTGCCCGCTAGATGTGTGTTCATGGGGGCAGTGGCGGATCCAGGGGGGGGGGGGGGGAGCTGAGGGCCCGGCCCCCTCCCCTGGGGAAAAAACAGGTAAAAATATGTTAATTTTACCTTTATTTGGAAACGGGCCCCCTTCCCTGGTGCTCAAAGTGTAAGGGTGCAGGTATATTCTATATTGTTTGAGATGACTAATAAGGTAAAAGTTAACATTATTTTGGTTAAATATATTGATATCATGATAAGAAGAAGAATCAGAGTAAAGGGATTTCCCTTCTGGTCTTCCATTCTGCTCTAGATCCTGTTGTATAGTTCGTTAACTTTGTCAGGAAGTGCTGTGGTATACTTCATTCGCTTTATTCTCAATCCAAAGGTTGATGATTCGAGTCCCAGCTTGGCACCATGTCCTTTGACAAAAAAATCAAACCACATTTCCACTCGTATCTCCACTCAGATGTGGTACAGTAATACTAATTGTATTGCAACGTGATGATGAGGCTTCCCTTGGTAAACAAATATATAAATTATTATCATCATTATCTTTTTTGTTACTGTTATTATTATTTTTTTCATTATTATTATTATTATTATTATTATTATTATTATTATTATTATTAATATTATTATTATCATTATTATTATCATTCATTATTATTCTTTTAATTATTTTACTGCCGTACGTCATTGATAGTATCATTATCATTATCATTAGTATTATCATTATTATTATCATTATTATCATTAGTAGAAGTAGTAGTAGTAGTAGTAGTAGTAGTAGTAAATGTAGTAGTAGAAGTAGTAGTAGTAGTAAATGTAGTAGTAGAAGTAGTAGTAGTAGTAGTAGTACATGTAGTAGTAGTAGTAGTAGTAGTAGCAGCAGTAGCAATATTAGTAGAAGTAGTAGTAGTAGTAATTGTTGTTGTAGTAGTAGTAGTAATAGTAGTACATGTAGTAGTAGTAGTAGTAGTAGTAGTACATATAGTAGTAGTAGTAGTAGTAGTAGTAGTAGTAGATAATAGTATTACTAGTATCATGAATTCTGCATTCTGTAATGTCCTTTGGCAAGACATCGACCCACATTAGTTGTTCTGCAACACTCAAGTATACTTTGGTTTATGGCTGGAATTAATTTTTAATCAAAATATTACAGCGCCATTATGACAGCAATGTAATAGCCATGCACGGGGAATAATATTGTGAAGCGCTATGAGTGTAAAGTCTGACAGACATGTGCGCTATATACAAAAACCAAAAAATATCATTATTGTTATGTCCATCGTCTTTATACAGGAATCTCCCGGTTTTCGTTTGGGCAATGGTTCAAGTTGAGAGTCAAAAGAACTCATCACTTCCACTGGAAAAAGAATAATGATTATAAAAACACGAGAATTCTCAGCTTGCCTTTAGTACTATATTCAATTGCCATTTCTTTTACGGTTGATTACGATTTTGTAATGATGTGTGCTAAAATTGATATGGCATATTTAATTCGGATAGAGCTTGTTTGTATTATATGCACCTAGATGCAGATGTTATTCAAAAGCATGGTTAGGAAAATCTTGCACTGACTGGCAGAATAGAGGGGAGGAGGAGTAGGGGTAGAAGGAGGATTATGTGGATGAGTAGCTTAAGGAGGGGGTTTCTGAAAGTGGAATTGGAATATGAGACAGAGAGTTGTGGTATTCCATGGTCGCCAACGTCTCAGGACATGGCACGTCAAGAAGAAGAAAGGCAAACGTTTAATTAAGTTGATACTTGAGAAAAAACAGCCAGACCGCAAGAGGAACACTGATTCACATCCTAAATGCAGATAATTAATCAATGCGTGATGACCTACCGGCCAGTATGTCCTTGTCTTCTCAGGTGTACATGGGTACCGGGCAATTATGGCTATTGCAGGGGTAATAGTTATTACAATAAGGACAGCATTAACACTGATGACCCAGTTGTTATTCCATTATCATTATAAGTTAGTTTTCGATACACACCATGATAAGAGCCCCATATAATTATGTACATAATTATCAGCGACGTTACTACTTGGTTAAAATTAATCAGTTACCTGCAAAAAGGCCGTAAGACCTGCATAATTATATTGTCAACGGCAAGAACGGCTATATTGAGGTCAGTCTACGAGTTGTATCGATATGGATTGTTTGCCTATATGATAATTTGCCCTGAACTTTGAAGCAGTATCACTTTACAAGAGCATAAAGATAATACAGAGATTACCCGTCTGCTTCCTTTTCATCATGTTTGAGAAAGGGCCATGTACAGCACGAATAACAGCATGAAATATATAGGGTAGGCGGATCCAGGGGGGGGGGGCAGGGGGCCTGGGCACTCACCCCTGTTCACGCAATATTGATTAGAACTATGACAGGTGACACAGGTCAATATTTTTCACCAAGCAGTCACTAACGACTTTCATGCATGCAGTTTTAACGAATAATAGACCTAGAACATTGCCACGCGGTATATAAATAGGTGAATCTAATTTAATATCGCCTGATAGGGATCGCAGATGGAACTCTCTCACCATAAGAGTTATTTGGGGGTAACGAGTAAAGGGTCTACACCCATGCTTCCTTGCTTAGTGCCCCTCCCCGCTCCAATCAAAACTGTGTATGTATGTCTATCTCCCACCTATCTCTTTATGGTGCTAGCTAGTCTGATCTTTAGTTCTGGGGCGTACAATATATATGATTATAAAGGTTATGAGAAAACCTTAGTTTGCCTCGAATCAAGGCCTTTATTCACTTCCCCCTTGAGATTCTTCTAAAAGTGATTATGAATTTGTTTAAGTGTTGCGTGCAAAAATTAATAAAGTATGTTTACTTGGGGCATAACTTGTTTGAATTGTATGGACTTTGGATCTTAATCAAATTCATATCTTGATAACTCTGTTTACACCACCACCAAGCTATGCAATTGACATCTATTTCTTATCTTATTATTCGATATAAATACAAATGAAAGAGATTTATCAGGGATATATTAGTCATACCTCGAACCTATTTTCGAATATATATTTTTCTTAATCCATAAAGTGATTATGTAAACAAGTTCACCAAACTCTGTCAGGTCATAACGTTCATGATAAGATATCGGGTTGATAGGAATGGAATACTCTTTGAAAATATCACATGACAGGGTCACATGACTGTATTTCAATCATCTCTCCTAAGAATTCAAAGGGTACGCGTAGTATGGCAATAAGAAATAACGACCTGCGGGCAACGTCACGAAATCATTAACATCTGGACTCCCCGATTGGATTAATTCAGTTAAATCCGAGGCTCCTTTTAAAAACATATAGGAAAACTTAAACATCGTTCTAACTGCCGATTGATAAAACGCGACTTTAGATTCAACGTTGGGTTTAAATTTTAGCAGAAACGGGCCAATACATGTTTGCTATTGTGTCTCAGTTTTCTCTAAAATTGTGCGACGCATATTTTGTTCTCATGTCAATAGAAGTCAAGATAAGGCGAAGCGGTCTCTTACTCGGAGTCGATATGAAATCAGATGTTTGTCTCCATTGCGTTAAGATGTAGGGCAGAAAACCATTGATGGCCTTTTTTTATATGAAGAAATGGATTCCAAAGCAGATGAACGCCCTTTTGATGCGATAGGAGGGAGAGCCTTACTGAACTTGTCACCGGAGAGGATGATCACCCTTTTGAAGCGCTAGGAAGGAGAGAGCCCTACTGAACGTGTACGGCACCGGATATGATACGCCCTTTCAGGAACATCATGAAATGCAGGACACCCAAGACATGGGATAATGAAGATGATCGCATTCAGATAAGCCATCCTTTCTTGTCTTTAGTGCTTTTAAAATATTTAATTATGTTGATCTGCAATAAGAAAGTACAAGCTGAAAAGCTTTATGTCTGTTTTCACTACTATTCCTCGGTGTCGTATTACCAATCACCTCTGTAATCTGCAGTACCACGCTAAACTACATCTTTGTATATCCTTTGTTATCCTGGTTCATTCAAATTTTAATATTGAATTGTATATTTTATATATATATATATATATATATTATATCCAGTGGGGTATAAATGTATTAAATACATAACACCTTCGTATGGTGAATCAATACACTGAGAGAGAAAAGAGAATGAACATGGCGCTTTTTACAGCGGTGAAGGAAGGCGATCTTGTAAAGACAAAGTCTATTCTAGAAGACGAGATAGGTGATGCCAAGCTGGTTATGGAAGACAGTATGGATCCTGAGGGAAAGACACCCCTCCATATAGCTTCAGAAGAAGGGCACATCGACCTCGTGAAATATATGATTGATTTGGGGGCGGATCTAGAAAAGCGAAGTAGAAGCGGTGACGCCCCTCTTCACTATGCGTCTCGGAGTGGTCACCAGGATGTTGCTCAATATCTCATCACTAAAGGAGCAGATATCAATATGGGTGATAGCAATGGCTATACACCTCTCTATCTTGCTTCGGAGGAAGGTCATGTTGGTGTTTTAGGATGTTTGGTGAATTCTGGAGCAGATATGAACAAAGCTTCACATGATGGTTCTACACCCCTTTATACTTCAGCAAGTAAGGGTCATGTTGATGTTGTGAAATATCTCATAACTAAGGGAGCCGATCTTGAAATGATTGGTCCTAAGAGTCAGACTCCACTTTCCGTTGCGTCATTCAATGGTCACGTTGAGGTTGTGAAGCATCTTATTAGCCAGGGAGCAGAGCTTGATACTAGTGATGAAGATGTCTACACACCTCTCTATACCGCTTCACAGGAGGGATATCTCGCCATTGTTGAGTGTCTGGTAGATGCAGGAGCAGATGTGAACCAACCAGTATATGATGGTGACTCACCACTTCATGCTGCAACAGAAAATGGCTATCTAGACGTTGTGAAATATCTCATCACTAAAGGAGCAGAAATTGATAGAGATGGTAACGAAGGATATACACCTCTGCATCTCGCCGCACTGGAGGGTCATCTTAACGTTGTTGAATGTCTGGTAGAGGCAGGAGCAGATGTCAAAAAAAACAAACCACGAGAAAACGTCTCCACTTCATGAAGCATCAGAAAATGGTTATCTGGACGTTGTAAAATATCTTATTAGCAAAGGAGCGGATATTAAACAGAAGGGATACAATGGTGAAACTTCGCTTGGTACTGCGGCTTGCTGTGGTCAAATCGATGTTGTAAAATACCTCTTAACTAAAGGTGCGGAGATCAACATGGATGATAACGAAAAATACACACCACTTCATGCCGCTTCAGAACATGGTCAGCTTCATGTTGTTGAATATCTAGTGGAAGCAGGAGCAGATATCAATAGAGCAGCTCATAATGGTTACACTTCGCTGTCAACCGCATTAATAAACGGACATCGAGACATTGTGGAGTTTCTCATGACTAAAGAAGGAGACCTTGGAAACAAAGATGACGTCGGTCCAGTTGCACTTTGCAAAGCATCCTCCCAGGGCTACCTCAATGCTGTAAGGTACATCATTAATAAAGTTGTAAACCTCGATTTGAAAGTAGATGGTTTCACACCACTATATCACGCGTCGGAGAATGGACATCTTCAGGTTGTTGAATGTCTAGTGAATGCAAAAGCTGATGTGAACAAAGCAGCAGAGAATGGTTCTACACCTCTGTTTGCTGCATCTCATAAAGGTCATCTAGGCATAGTGAAGTATCTACTCAACAAAGGAGTAGATATTGATAGGAGAGGTGATAATGGTCAGACGCCTCTTCATGTCTCATCATTCTATGGCCATCTTGAAGTTGTCAAGTATCTTATCAGTCAAAGAGCAGATATAGGTATGGGCGATCAATATGGATATACACCTCTGCATGCTGCTTCACAGGAAGGTCATCATGGTATTGCACAATATCTCATCGCTGAAGGAGCAAACCTGAACGCAGAAGCTACTAACGGATTTACTTCGCTATATCTTGCTTCAACAAACGGACATTTTGATGTTGTTGGATGTCTAGTGAATGCAAAAGCTGATGTGAACAAAGCAGCAAAGAGTGGTTCTACACCTCTGCATGCAGCATCTCATAAAGGTCAGCTAGACATAGTAAAATATCTCGTTTCTAAAGAAGCGAACCCGAATTGTGTTGCTAATGATGGCTTTACACCTCTATATGTTGCTTCACAGAATGAACATCTTGATGTTGTTGAATGTCTAGTGAATGCAGGAGCTGATGTGAACACAGCAGCAAAGAGTGGTTCTACACCTCTGCATGTAGCATCTCATAAAGGTCAGCTAGACATAGTGAAGTATCTGATAAACAAAGGAGCAGATATTGATAGGAGAGATAATGAGGGTGATACGCCCCTTTGTGTCTCATCATTCTATGGCCATCTCGCGGTTATCAAGTATCTAACCAGCCAAGGAGCACAGGTAGACACCGAAGATACCGATGGATATACGCCCCTACATGTCGCCTCGAAGAATGGTCACCTCAAAGTTGTTGAAAGCCTGGTCGATACAGGAGCAAATACAAACAAATCATCGAATAACGGATATGCACCACTTTATACTGCATTGATTAAAGGTCACCTTGACATTGTAAAATATCTTATCATTAGAGAGGCAGATATCGGGAGCAGCGATGAAATCGGCACTACGGCAATACGGCACGCCCTTTTGCATGGTTACCTCGATGTAGTCAAATATCTCATCGGTAAAGTTGATGGTCTTGATGAATGTGATATTGATGGTAACACACCTCTTTATCTTGCATCAGAGAAAGGCCTTCTTGACCTTGTTGAATGTCTCGTGAATAAAGGAGCAGATGTGAACAAAGTATCAGGATATGATGGCGACACACCCCTCTACGCCGCTTCACAAGGAGACTATCTGGATGTAGTTGAATGTCTAGTGCATGCTGGAGCTGACGTGAACAAAGCAGCAAAGGATGATTCTACACCTCTGTATGCTGCTTCTCATAAAGGTCATCTGGACATAGTAAAATATCTCGTTTCTAAAGAAGCGAACCCGAATTGTGTTGCTAATGATGGCTATACACCTCTATATGTTGCTTCACAGAACGAACATCTTGATGTTGTTGAATGTCTGCTGAATGCAGGAGCTGATGTGAACAAAGCAGCAGAGCATGGTTTTACACCTCTGTATGCAGCATCTCATAGAGGTCATCTAGACATAGTGAGGTATCTCATTACCAAAGGAGCGAACCCGAATTATATTGCTTATGACGGATATACACCTCTATATGTTGCTTCACAGAAAGGTCATCGTGATATTGTACAATATCTCATCGCTGAAAGAGCAAACCCGAACGCATCAGATTCTAAGGGATTTACTCCCCTATATCTCGCTTCACAGAACGGACATCTTGATGTTGTTGAATGTCTAGTAAATGCAGGAGCTGATGTGAACAAAGCAGCAGAGCGTGGCTCAACACCTCTTTTTGGTGCATCATCTAAAGGTCATCTAGAAATAGTAAAATATCTCATTACCAAGGGAGCAAAAGCTAATCATGTTGATAATGTTGGCTATACACCTCTACATGATGCTTCACAGGAAGGTTATCCTGATATTGCACAATATCTCATCGATGAAGGAGCAAACCCGAACGCAGGAAGTATTAAGGGATTTACTCCCCTGTATCTCGCCTCACAGAACGGACATCTTGGTGTAGTTGAATGTCTAGTGAATGCAGGCGCTGATGTGGACAAAGCTGAAAATAATGGATCTACACCTCTGTATGCTGCTTCTCATAGAGGTCATCTAGACATAGTAAAATATCTCGTTTCTAAAGGAGCGAACCCGAAATGTGTTGTTAATGAAGGATATACACCTCTATATGTTGCTTCACTGGGAGGTCATCGTGATATTGCACAATATCTCATTGGTGTAAGAGCAAACCCAAACGCATCAGATACTAAGGGATTTACTCCCCTATATCTCACTTCACAGAATGGACATCTTGATGTAGTTCAATGTCTAGTGAATGCAGGAGCTGATGTAAACAAAGCTGAAAATAATGGATCAACACCTCTTTTTGGTGCATCATCTAAAGGTCATCTAGAAATAGTAAAATATCTCATTACCAAGGGAGCAAAAGCGAATCATGTTGATAATGGTGGCTATATACCTCTGCATGCTGCTTCACAGGAAGGTCATCGTGATATTGCACAATATCTCATCGATGAAGGAGCAAACCCGAACGCAGGAAATATTAAGGGATTTACTCCCCTATATATCGCTTCACAGAATGGACATCCTGATGTAGTTCAATGTCTAGTGAATGCAGGAGCTGATGTGAACAAAGCAGCAGAGCATGGTTTTACACCTCTGTATATTGCATCTCTTAAAGGTCATCTAGACATAGTAAAATATCTCATTACTAAAGGAGCGAACCCGAATTGTGTTGCTAATGACGGATATACACCTCTATATGTTGCTTCACAGAAAGGTCATCGTGATATTGTACAATATCTCATCGCTGAAAGAGCAAACCCGAACGCATCAGATTCTAAGGGATTTACTCCCCTATATCTCGCTTCACAGAACGGACATCTTGATGTTGTTGAATGTCTAGTAAATGCAGGAGCTGATGTGAACAAAGCAGCAGAGCGTGGCTCAACACCTCTTTTTGGTGCATCATCTAAATGTCATCTAGAAATAGTAAAATATCTCATTACCAAGGGAGCAAAAGCTAATCATGTTGATAATGTTGGCTATACACCTCTACATGATGCTTCACAGGAAGGTTATCCTGATATTGCACAATATCTCATCGATGAAGGAGCAAACCCGAACGCAGGAAGTATTAAGGGATTTACTCCCCTGTATCTCGCCTCACAGAACGGACATCTTGGTGTAGTTGAATGTCTAGTGAATGCAGGCGCTGATGTGGACAAAGCTGAAAATAATGGATCAACACCTCTTTTTGGTGCATCATCTAAAGGTCATCTAGAAATAGTAAAATATCTCATTACCAAGGGAGCAAAAGCTAATCATGTTAATAATGTTGGCTATACACCTCTACATGATGCTTCACAGGAAGGTTATCCTGATATTGCACAATATCTCATCGCTGAAGGTGCAAACCTTAACGTAGGGGATTCTAAGGGATTTACTCCCCTATATCTCGCTTCACAGAACGGACATCTTGATGTTGTTGTATGTCTAGTGAATGCAGGAGCCGATGTGAACAAAGCAGCAGAGAATGGATCAACACCTCTTTTTGGTGCATCATCTAAAGGTCATCTAGAAATAGTAAAATATCTCATTACCAAGGGAGCAAAAGCGAATCATGTTGATAATGGTGGCTATATACCTCTGCATGTTGCTTCACAGGAAGGTTATCCTGATATTGCACAATATCTCATCGATGAAGGAGCAAACCCGAACGCAGGAAGTATTAAGGGATTTACTCCCCTGTATCTCGCCTCACAGAACGGACATCTTGGTGTAGTTGAATGTCTAGTGAATGCAGGCGCTGATGTGGACAAAGCTGAAAATAATGGATCTACACCTCTGTATGCTGCTTCTCATAGAGGTCATCTAGACATAGTAAAATATCTCGTTTCTAAAGGAGCGAACCCGAATTGTGTTGTTAATGACGGATATACACCTCTATATGTTGCTTCACTGGGAGGTCATCGTGATATTGCACAATATCTCATTGGTGTAAGAGCAAACCCAAACGCATCAGATACTAAGGGATTTACTCCCCTATATCTCACTTCACAGAATGGACATCTTGATGTAGTTCAATGTCTAGTGAATGCAGGAGCTGATGTAAACAAAGCTGAAAATAATGGATCAACACCTCTTTTTGGTGCATCATCTAAAGGTCATCTAGAAATAGTAAAATATCTCATCACCAAGGGAGCAAAAGCGAATCATGTTGATAATGGTGGCTATATACCTCTGCATGCTGCTTCACAGGAAGGTCATCGTGATATTGCACAATATCTCATCGATGAAGGAGCAAACCCGAACGCAGGAAATATTAAGGGATTTACTCCCCTATATATCGCTTCACAGAATGGACATCCTGATGTAGTTCAATGTCTAGTGAATGCAGGAGCTGATGTGAACAAAGCAGCAGAGCATGGTTTTACACCTCTGTATATTGCATCTCTTAAAGGTCATCTAGACATAGTAAAATATCTCATTACTAAAGGAGCGAACCCGAATTGTGTTGCTAATGACGGATATACACCTCTATATGTTGCTTCACAGAAAGGTCATCGTGATATTGTACAATATCTCATCGCTGAAAGAGCAAACCCGAACGCATCAGATTCTAAGGGATTTACTCCCCTATATCTCGCTTCACAGAACGGACATCTTGATGTTGTTGAATGTCTAGTAAATGCAGGAGCTGATGTGAACAAAGCAGCAGAGCGTGGCTCAACACCTCTTTTTGGTGCATCATCTAAAGGTCATCTAGAAATAGTAAAATATCTCATTACCAAGGGAGCAAAAGCTAATCATGTTGATAATGTTGGCTATACACCTCTACATGATGCTTCACAGGAAGGTTATCCTGATATTGCACAATATCTCATCGATGAAGGAGCAAACCCGAACGCAGGAAGTATTAAGGGATTTACTCCCCTGTATCTCGCCTCACAGAACGGACATATTGGTGTAGTTGAATGTCTAGTGAATGCAGGCGCTGATGTGGACAAAGCTGAAAATAATGGATCAACACCTCTTTTTGGTGCATCATCTAAAGGTCATCTAGAAATAGTAAAATATCTCATTACCAAGGGAGCAAAAGCTAATCATGTTAATAATGTTGGCTATACACCTCTACATGATGCTTCACAGGAAGGTTATCCTGATATTGCACAATATCTCATCGCTGAAGGTGCAAACCTTAACGTAGGGGATTCTAAGGGATTTACTCCCCTATATCTCGCTTCACAGAACGGACATCTTGATGTTGTTGTATGTCTAGTGAATGCAGGAGCCGATGTGAACAAAGCAGCAGAGAATGGATCAACACCTCTTTTTGGTGCATCATCTAAAGGTCATCTAGAAATAGTAAAATATCTCATTACCAAGGGAGCAAAAGCGAATCATGTTGATAATGGTGGCTATATACCTCTGCATGTTGCTTCACAGGAAGGTTATCCTGATATTGCACAATATCTCATCGCTGAAAAGGAAAACCCGAACGCATCAGATACTAAGGGATTTACTCCCCTTTGTCTCGCTTCACAGCACGGACATCTTGGTGTAGTTGAATGTCTAGTGAATGCAGAAGCTGATGTGAACAAAGCAGCAGAGAATGGTTCTACACCTCTGTATGCTGCTTCTCATAGAGGTCATCTAGACATAGTAAAATATCTCGTTTCTAAAGGAGCGAACCCGAATTGTGTTGTTAATGACGGATATACACCTCTATATGTTGCTTCACAGAAAGGTCATCGTGATATTGCACAATATCTCATTGCTGAAGGTGCAAACCTTAACGCAGGAAATATTAAGGGATTTACTCCCCTATATCTTGCTTCACAGAATGGACATCTTAATGTTGTTGAATGTCTAGTGAATGCAGGAGCTGATGTGATAAAAGCAGCAGAGCATGGTTTTACACCTCTGTATATTGCATCTCTTAAAGGTCATCTAGACATAGTAAAATATCTCATTACTAAAGGAGCGAACCCGAATTGTGTTGCTAATGACGGATATACACCTCTATATGTTGCTTCACAGAAAGGTCATCATGATATTGCACAATATCTCATTGCTGAAGGTGCAAACCTTAACGCAGGAAATATTAAGGGATTTACTCCCCTATATCTTGCTTCACAGAATGGACATCTTGATGTTGTTGAATGTCTAGTGAATGCAGGAGCTGATGTGATAAAAGCAGCAGAGCATGGTTTTACACCTCTGTATATTGCATCTCTTAAAGGTCATCTAGACATAGTAAAATATCTCATTACTAAAGAAGCGAACCCGAATTGTGTTGCTAATGACGGATATACACCTCTATATGTTGCTTCACAGAAAGGTCATCGTGATATTGCACAATATCTCATTGCTGAAGGTGCAAACCTTAACGCAGGAAATATTAAGGGATTTACTCCCCTATATCTTGCTTCACAGAATGGACATCTTGATGTTGTTGAATGTCTAGTGAATGCAGGAGCTGATGTGATAAAAGCAGCAGAGCATGGTTTTACACCTCTGTATATTGCATCTCTTAAAGGTCATCTAGACATAGTAAAATATCTCATTACTAAAGAAGCGAACCCGAATTGTGTTGCTAATGACGGATATACACCTCTATATGTTGCTTCACAGAAAGGTCATCGTGATATTGCACAATATCTCATTGCTGAAGGTGCAAACCTTAACGCAGGAAATATTAAGGGATTTACTCCCCTATATCTTGCTTCACAGAATGGACATCTTGATGTTGTTGAATGTCTAGTGAATGCAGGAGCTGATGTGAACAAAGCAGCAGAGCATGGTTTTACACCTCTGTATATTGCGTCTCTTAAAGGTCATCTAGCCATTGTAAAGTATCTCATTACCAAAGGAGCAAAACCAAATTGTGTTGATAATGATGGCTATACACCTATGCATACTGCTTCACTGGGAGGTCATCGTGATATTGTACAATATCTCTTCGCGGAAGGAGCAAACCTGAATGCAGAAACTACTAACGGATTTACTCCCCTATATCTTGCTTCAAAAAACGGACATCTTGATGTTGTTGAATGTCTAGTGAATGCAGGCGCTGATGTGAACAAAGCAGCAGAGAATGGTTCTACACCTCTGTATGCTGCATCTCGTAAAGGTCATTTAGACATAGTAAAGTATATGATTAACAAAGGAGTAGATCTTGATAGGAGAGGTTATAACGGCAATACGCCTCTTCGTGTCTCATCAATGTGTAGACATCTTGCAGTTGTCAAGTACCTTATCAGTCAAAAAGCAGATAAAGACATGGGAGATAACGATGGATATGGACCTCTCTATGTTGCGTCACAACAGGGTCATCTTGATATTGTTAAATGTCTAGTGAATGGTGGAGCGTACATCAACAAGGCAGCACATGATGGTGATCTGTCCCTCCATGCTGCCTGTCGTCGGGGTCATATTGACGTTATAACATATCTTATTGCAAAAGGAGCGAATATGGAGGCACGTAATAATTACGGTTGGACAGTCTTACATTTTGTAGCAGATAATGGTCATTTCGAACGTTTGAAATATTTCTTGAGACACAACTCCAGCGGTACAGCAGGAAATAGTCCCAACGCTCTTGATGTTGGGCTTCAGGTAGGTTGAAAATGAAAATGAAGTCTAAAAGTTGCGAAAAAGTTGAATATTCCTTCATTAAACCTCTCCCGCACAATTTTAGAAACTTTGTTACACTCGCATGGTCTTTTTTTTGTATAGGCCTGTGATTGAGACATAACTGCAGCCGCTAACAACTACCCCGTCACGTAATTGGGAAGTAATTGTCCCAGGCAAAACTATCCTGGTGTCGTCATCCTTGGTGTAATTGTTCTTGAGGGTTATTCTCAGGGGTTAATCGTCCTGAAATGGCCGCAGTCTTTTATATGTGTACAATAACAGGCCTACGACCGATCTATAAATTTGGTGTCAAAAAATGGGAAAGAGAGGAAATATTGGAATATATGGTATTGGTGTTATAAATGCACTATCCATTTGGAAATATGGAGTAAAGGACCAATGTGAATCAATTTTTCGAATTAAGCGAGAGAAGTAAAAATAAATTTAAATTTATTCTTGTATCCTTTAATGAACCATCTGAAAGTCTGAAATTGACAACATCATCATGAGAGGGACACGATTTGATTTCCCACTTTATAAAACACACACAAAGTTTTGCTTTAATGTTTAAAAAAATGAAAGCGAAAGACTAGCTAGGGAAAATGAGATGACATTATACAGGGTTCAGAGTTATGCGTTTTAGGCTCAAAATTTGGAATTCGGACTGGCTAATGGGAGCCTACAATTGACGTACTCCCTTATTCTGCACATTACATTGTAACGAAATTTGTAACGAAATAATTTGTATTTCTAACAGTGCTGTTGATATGCGTAAGAAGAAATGTTTGCATTGAACACTTATGATAGCATTTAATAATGTCGAATATACACATTTTTTAAAGTAAAATATATTTTCCCATTAACACAATGATTGCACCTGATACCAATAATCGAGTCAGCAAAGTACCGTAGCGGATTACCCAATGTGGTCGGTTAATATCAGAGCAGAATATAATCTGATAACCTAGGTGATATAGTTGCAATAGTAAGGTACCGGAACTATATTGTCTCCTAGAGTATAGTGATGACCCAGTAAGATACCGATAAAACTAATCTTCCAGCGCGCGCGCGCTACTCAGCTTCTGTAGATCGCCGCCTTTAGATTATATTCTGTAACAGTAAGTTGCTGGGAATGCTTGTGCGGAATACGCGTGCGTATTATCAGGGAGTGCAGCGATTTATGCGAAATACATCCTGCATGCTCGACCCGCTGTAGCGGCGAATCCAAGAGGTTTTTTTTAAAGGAGGGGCATTAAGTGTTAAATCGGCGTGGGGTCCGGGGCCAAAGGGCCCCGGAAAAAAAATTGAACTATAAGATGCTTTATGGTACATTCTGAGGCATTTCTGAATGCGTAAACTGAACATTTATATGAAAATTCGTGGCTTTTTTTGGAAGGAAAAGGGGGCATGAACCCCAACGCTCCCCACGGGTCCGGCCTAGCTGGCAGGGCTAGCTAGCGCGACCCGGCAAGGCTAGTTCTCTGCAGTACGCTCAGGACTGGCGTCGACCGCCGGCGTCCCCGCTAGAGACCCGCCAGAGCTCGCATACCGTATACCTGCGGCTAGCATCAGCTACAGTTTCAGCTGGTCGGCGCAGCTAGCCTTGCCCTGCTGGTGGTTCCTTGTCTTCACTCCAAAAATATCTACAATGTATACCGTAAGTTTTAAATATATAGATCTAGATATTCATCTTAGTCAGAGGAATAATCGATAGAGTCTAATTATAAGGACTAATATTGTTTGAAAACCATTTGTCTTTGTATTTCATGAGACCTAGATCTATCTAGGCCTACTACTAGTACTACTAGTATCCAATATGTCATGCGCAGTTGAGTATATACATATAGAAACTGCGCATTATAAATTTACAATTATTATTATTATTATTATTATTACTAGTCCCAAATATAAACTTTTCTGTGTGTGATTCTATCGTTATTTGTGTGTGTGTGTTGGCAATTTTTCTACGAAAAAGTGTTGTACAATCAAAATTCATCCAACTTGAGCATACCAAATTCCACTTCACACTCCTATAATTTCAATGCATAAGGTCTAGCCATTAATTAACCGGTATCGACGTCATAAAACTCATTGGATTTCCTATTACTTTTCCACACATGCATAGATTTCTTCTAGGTCTACAAAACAAATACCGGTAGCCTAGATCTAGATCTAGGTGTCTAGGCCTACTAAATTATAAATAGGAGAAAATGTAAATTATTGTTCAATTGAATATTGAATATAGATCTAGATCTAAATCATTAATGATGCTTCAAAATCATACTGCAGTTTAAATAACCTTAAAAAATCAGTTCTCTTATTTAATTTCATCTGATTCACACTCACAGTCACAGCTCAAAATCGCGTTGAAAAACTGAAAAAACTGCCCCTTGAAAGCTTGATTTTATTCCATTGCACTTTGTTTCACTAGCGTTTGCGCATCGATAGACTTTATGATAGACTCTGTCTAGATCAACAGAAAATTCAATGAAATTTTGGGCAAACCTTGATAATACTGCGGCTATTTGTGCTGCTCACTCTCCTCATTTGGCATGTTTGGCGCTATATAGCCAATGTACTATGTAGGTATTTCATTTTGAATAATTATTTTATAGTCAAGATGACTATATTGTCTACAAATTCTTGACATGCTTGTGAAATATTCCACCACTCATTCAAGGACTCTGCACAGTATAGCCTAACGGTTCATTGTGCGCAATGCTTGCACATGTCTGTAGATTATATAGGCCTACACGATAAAAAACAACAATGGTTTATTCACAAAACCAGTAGGGGTGCTGGTACGTGAATAAGCATCGTCCGCATAAACGACAATACCCTCGTAAACGCAGACCATTCGCATCCAGAAAAATAAGGATCATCCACATTTTTGTGAAGGATCCGGATTCCTGATCCGCGCGTTGGTGATGCGAAAAACGAATTCCGCGATGATGCTCCATAATGCATTTTACACTTACGCAGAGACTTTCACTTTTATGAACAATAAATCCTAGGGAAGACGGACAACCCATAGAAAGTAGACTGTGAACTGGGGGTATTTTATTACGCGGAATCCGTTTTTTCGCATTAATTGCCAGCACGCGGATCAGGAACCCTGTACCCGCAGAGCACCGAAGAAGAAAAAAAACGTCTGTGAAAATTGCAGACTATCCTTATTTTTTTAGGTCGAGATTTGTCCGCGTTTACCAGGATATTCTTGTTTATGCGGACAATCTTCATTCTCAGACCAGTGCCCCTGCTGAAAATGGCAATATTCCTCACATCAATTCCACTCTTAGAGAAATAACTTGGCACAAAGTACCCTGCAGGAAGTCAAGCTAGGGCCATGCAAGGACAAGTAAAAGAGCCACATCCATAATTGTATTTTGCAATTATTATTTTTCTTTTTCATAAAGATAGAGAATAATAGGAATAACTCATTGTTAGAAATACACATCACAAGATTTGAAAAAAAAAACTATCTATTTTTGTATTTGGGACCATTAAATGGCAAAATGGAATGGTGATGCATTATGGAGCAGACAGCATGTTATTGGCCATTAACACATAATAACCAGGATTTTTCACTGAATATTTTGTAGATGGAGTATATTAATTCTCGCTACCCTAAATAGGTACGAAAATCTCGAAATTCGCGAGACGAGGTAATTTTCACTCTCTCGGGTCGTCACTACAACTTCCGGTATAGAGTCCCATCCCAAGTCACGGCCTTCATCCACCCCCATTTTTCAGGGTTCTTACGCTTGGAATCATGAGCCCAGCACTGTGCAGCCTCACAAAAGAAAACCATCGTCACTGATGTCAAAAGACGCAAAAAACAACGAATGAAATGTTCAAATAAACGTTGAAATATTTGCGAAAAAAAAACAAGACCGAGCAGACGACATATTCGGTGCATACACGTTGTGTGGCGACGGCGTTTTACGTTTGCGCTATCGCGCGCCTGCACAGGAAGCTGTAATGTCGAAAAGCTATCCCATAATGCAATGCGCGTTTTCAGGATTTTCCCCGGATCTCGGCAGAATCGCTATTTGGGGTAGCGAGAATTGTTCTTCATGTTATAATTTCATTATATTTTAATCAATCAGATTTTATATGTTTTCATTGAAATGAGTTATCAATGTAATTTTTTTTTGGTAAAATTGTTTCTTAGGATCATACACTGGCCCAACTCTATTTTTGAAGAAAAAAATGTTATTGTTTTGGTAATTACTGTTGTAATCTAACAATACGAACAAGCAAAGGGCATATAAGCACTGACTTGAACAATTCAGGGAAAGCTATTTATAGTGGAGGGAGGGGGGGGGGGGGGTAATGATCCTATGCACCTAATTCTGCATCGGTGTAGTACGTGTTGTTATAGGGTTCTATAGACTATTACCCCCCCCCCCGGACAATCGCCCCCCCCCTAAGCCTCAATTGAAGCTGTTATTCAACCCTTACACTGACAGCAGTGATCAAGGTTGACCTCTCAGTCATGAATATAAGCCATAAGGGGGGGGGGGGGGTTATACTTTGCACCATACAAGTAGGGTGGTCCCATACACCCAATTCAGCATCCAGTGGTTCCTATCATTTGTGATTTTTCCAAACATTATTTAAGTCAATTTTATAAATTTGCTTGCATCTTCAAATTGGAGTGATCGAATGCCGTTTGAGCAATTTTTAATTTTATTTTCATATTGCATCTTTTTAATACAAACAGAAAACCTAACATGCTTGGAGATGTAGAAGATCCTCGCTATCCATCCACCTTCGCAGCTTCTTTTGCCTCACAATTACCTCTGTCACAAGCCCTATCAAACACCGTGCCTGATTCTGGTGCAGGTGACAGCACTGGGGACACTTTGCCTCAATTGAAGCTGTTATTCAACCCTTAGACACAACCACTTGCCTGCTAATTACCTGCTATGAAAGAAATTACATATTGTGGTAAGTACATCGAAGCAGCAATGGATGTGGGGCTGTCT